CTAACAAAATAAAAAGGCAGGCAATCAACAAAATAGTAGAAGATATTTTCAAACAGCTCTGACAAGGGCTTAATATCCAAAATATGTAAAGAACTCATACAACCCAACACCAAACAAACAAATAATCTAATTAAAATGAACAGAGGACCTGAATAGATGTTTTTCCTAAGAAGACACAAAAATGTCTGACAGATATATGAAAAATGCTTAACTTCACTAGCTATTGAAGAAACAGAAATCAAAACTACAATGAAATATCACCTCACATCTGTTAGAACATATATTATCATCAAGACAGGTAATAACAGGTGTTGAAGAAAATGAACCCTCACTCACTGCTGATGGGAATTCATACTGGTACAGTCACTATGAAAAATAGTATGGTAGTTCTTCAAAAAATTAAAAACAGTTACCCCCCAAACTCAAAAACACTTATTCACAACGATATTTACACACTTATGTTCATTGCAGCACCATTCACTGTGGCCAAGACATGCAGACTAAAGTGTCCTTCCATAGATGTGATACACATACTATGGAATACTGCTCAGAGAAAATAACTGACATTTGAGACAACATGGATGGATCTTGAGAATATCATGCTGATATAATTCAGTCAGAAAAAAAATTTTAAACTGTATGATTTCTTTTATATGTGAAATATTAAAACTGAAACTTAAAGACACAGACAACAGTATGGTGGTTACCAAAGGGGAACAGAGGTGGGGGGACGTGAGACTGATGAGTAAAGGGGGATAGATGGTGAGTAAAGATGATTTTTTAAATTTTTATTTAGTTATTTTTCAAGTACAGTTTTCTGTCTATTTCTCCCATCCCAGCTGGATGATTTGATTTTGAGTGATGCACACACAATAGAACATACAGATTATGTGTCATAGAAGTGTACACTTGAAACATATAATCTTATTAACCAATGTCACCCCAATAAATTTAATAAAAAAACAAATCAATATGTCTTTGTCCTACTATTCTCAGTTCACACAACCCGGGTTTTCTTTTCTATCCAAATCAATTGTTTCTATAAAATTATCATAAAGGCTATTTTATATCCAATGATCCTAAACACACCAGTGAACAGGTAACCCTCAAAGATCTAACACTTTAAATCCTAATTCAACTGGCATGTAAAATTAACAGAAGGCTTTGCATTGTGCTTTTTCATACCATCTTTGCTTTTGTCTGCATGCTTCTTATTCCAGCTTGTTAACTTAATTTTCTGAGGGACCTGCAATAATTTGAGGGCAGGAAGTTTTTACTAGGTATTCACAAAAGCTGCTGTTATGCATCTTTCTATATAACAATTAATACAGATCATGGAGACAAATACCATTGGGACTAACAGTTGATGCCATGAAGATCTTATACACAAGAGAAGAGAATGGGATAGAAAAATGAAATAACACTTGCATATCTTTTAATAAAAATGTCCTTGTGTGTCTCAAGTTTCAACACAAATAGAAAACTCAATGTTGACGGTCATCAGCAGCTTTTTACATTGATTTCAATATCAATTTACAAATTCACAGGTATCAGATTAGCCATCAAAGAATTATAGAGAGCCTTTCCATTAAAATGTTGCAGTTTTCATTTTAGGACAAGATATTCTGGAAATAGTTACAGCAAAATAAAATAAGTAGCATTCATGTAAAAATTATTTATATGTCCCAAGAGCAAACTGTTCTCCTGGGACAGGAGATCCTGTTTATTATTATTATTATTATTATTATTATTATTATTATTATTATGACAGTGAATTTTAGGATACAACACTGTAACTATAACTTGCAATGCATAACATCTATCCAGTGATTCTCAGTTATATGTATAAGTTTATATTAAAGATACTAATTAAAAAATGAAAGAGCAATCTTGGTTGTAGGTCTTTGGATTTCATGACTTGGAATACCTCTTTCCAGCCCCTTCTTGCCTGTAAGGTCTCTTTTGAGAAATCCGCTGACAGTCTGATGGGGAATCCTTTGTAGGTGACTGTCCCCTTAGCTCTTGCTGCTTCTAGGATTCTCTCCTTCATTTTAATTTTGGCTATTGTAATGATGATGTGCCTTGGTGTGTTCCTTCTTGGGTCCAACTTCTTTGGGACTCTCTGAGCTTCCTGGATTTCCTGGAAATCTATTTCCTTTGCCAGTTTGGGGAAATTCTCCTTTATTATTTGTTCAAATAAGTTTTCTCTATCCAGCAAAATTTTCATTTAGAATGGAAGGACAGATAAAGTGCTTCTCAGATAAGATCGAACTCAAGGAGTTCATTATCACCAAGCCCTTATTATATGAAATGTTAAAGGGACTTATCTAAGAAAAAGAAGTTAAAGAAACATGAACAGTGAAAGGACAACAAACTCACAGTTATTAACAACCACACCTAAAACAAAAGCAAACTAAAAGGACAGCTAGATCAGGAGTGGAAATTAGAAATGAAGATCACAAGGAGGGTTAGCAACAGGGGAGTGGGAGCAGGAGAAGGGGGGAGAAGGTACAGAAAATAAGTAGCATAGACAGTAGATAGAAAATAGATGGGGGGGCAAGAATAGCATGGGAAATAATAGAATCTAAAGGACTTGCGACACATGGTCATAAACTAAAGGGGGGTAATTGTGGGGACGGGGGTTAGGGTGGAGGGGAATGAAGGGGGGAATAGAACAACTGTAACAGCATAATCAATAAAAAATTAAAAAAGAAAGATAACATGGATTTGGTTAACTCATGTAATCCATCAAATTAGCGAAGAACTTTTCAGATCATAGAGTGATTACTATAAATGAGAGGAGCCAAAATCTAGTAGAAATAACATGGCCCTGACAAAAACTTCCTGACTTCAAATTATTGCAGATCCCTCTGAAAATTAAGTTAACAAGCTGGAATAAGAAGCATGCACACAGAAGCAAAGGTGGGACACAAAATCACAATGCCAAGCCTTCTGTTAATTTTATATGATAGCCAATAAAGTGCACATCTTGATTCAACACTTAATTACAGGTGGCATTATACAGCAAAATTAAAACCCAGGGTCTGGTCCCAACACTACACAAAACCATGACCTCATGTAAGCTATTTAAATTTTTGTACTATAGTTTGCTAATAAAATGGGTAGATCACTATTTGATATGTCTTGCACCCACTAATTTATGCACCCACTAATTTATGAAATAACTATATATGCATGAGGTAAAATCACTCTTCTAAAAGCTTATATATTATACTTATTTTCTTATATGTAGTTATTTATACAAACAAGATTACTCTATCCAGCAAAACTTTCATTTAGAATGGAAGGACAGATAAAATGCTTCTCAGATAAGATCAAATTCAAGGAGTTCATCATCACCAAGCCCTTATTATATGAAATGTTAAAGGGACTTATCTAAGAAAAAGAAGATAAAAAAGATGAACAGTGAAAGGACAGCAAACTCACAGTTACTAACAACCACACCTAAAACAAAAGCAAACTAAAAGAACAGCTAGATCAGGAGCGGAAACATAGAAATGAAGATCTCAAGGAGGGTTAGCAACAGGGGAGTGGGAGGAGGAGAATTGGGGAGAAGGTACAGAAAATAAGTAGCATAGATGGTAGGTAGAAAATAGACAGGGGGGCAAGAATAGTATGGGAAATATAGAATCTAAAGAACTTGAGAGACATGGTCATAAACTAAAGGGGGGAATGGTGGGGGTGAGGGGTACAGGGTGGAGGGGAATGAAGGGGGGAATAGAACAACTGTAATGGCATAATCAATAAAATAAAAATAAAATAAAATAAAAATAACACATTCATGGAAAGTAGTTCTGTGATCATTTCTAAATAATTTATTACTTACAAATCTCTTTATTGATCTTTGAATAAATCTTGCTTTCAGATAGATATTAATGGTTAAAACAAGGGTTTTCATGGAGATTGTAGCAACTTTTTCTCAATCTATAACTTTCAAAGACAGACTCCAAATTCACTACTGAAAGACTAAGCGTTATAGTATGACATTAAAGCAGAAAATATTCTTAAAAAGATTTTAATGTATATTAACTTTTGAGGTTTAGCTAGCTCTAATTCAAAATGTTTTAAACAATTTGAATCAGGCAAATACTTTATATATAAATAACCTCAAAAATTAAGTAAAAATTGATAGGTAATACTATTTATTTTTTGCAAAGTGGTTCAAAGAAATACAATTTTAGTAAGAAAAAAGTATAAAGAAATTTTTATGGCAGTGGCTTTATAACCATAGTATTACAGTCATTTAAACTAACAGTACCTAAGAGAAGGGTAAGAGAGTACAATTTTTTAAACTAATAGTAAAAGATGTAGCATTACATTTTATCCTATGAATTCTTAGCTAAAGTACACTTTGAAGGTAATGGAGGATAAACTAACTTCCCATCAAGGACTGACCATGTAAAATCATAACATATAAAAGTATCAATTTTAAATTTACTGGAGCACAACCATGGAGTATAATTTCAAATCTAAACCTTTGTAGAGATCAGAAAAGAAAGAGAGCAAAGCAAGAGTAAGATAATAGAAGGCTCTATAAGTAGGATGGGAAGTGAGAAAATATTACCCTGCTTGACATTGAAATAATGCTCTCTTTATTAATTTTTAGCCCCATGATTTTGGTAAATGTTCTTAAAACCTATTGAGAAGCAAGAATTCAATAAAAGTGGTTCATTGTTAACTTTATCTCAAAATAACAGGACATGTTTTCCTTGTCTTTTTACAGGACATTTTCATTGCTAAAATGAGCACCCTTTTGATGCTAAAATTAATTATTTTTAATTTTGAATTTGCCACTATATCAGTAAGAATGTTTTACAAATAAAATCCCAATAGTTAGAAATGAATCATATTTCTCACTTTTATGTTTCAGAACAGTGGCACTTAATAAGCATTGCCATATTTACTACTTAAGTTTCAAGAGAAAATTAAGGATTTTTGAAAAAACGTATAGTTGTGCACTTCTATTAAAACACTATTTAGTGCTCACTTTGGCAGCACATATATTCAAATTGGAATGATTCAGAGAAGATTAGCATGGTCCCTGCCCAAGCATGACATGCAAATTCATGAAGCATTCAAAAAAAGTATTATTTACAAGATTCAAATAGTTAGTACACATCTATCATTAACATTATAAATAAAGATATTCATATTTCCTTACTATTTTTAACATGTAGAAGCTATTTATAATATTTTGTTGAATTGGTTTTAACAATAGCAACACAAAAATAACTAGTATTTATTGTCGCTATATACAAACAAAGCTGAACAAAGCTTTTGACATATATACCTTATTTAACCTTCACTTTCACACTATGAGAAAATAATTATTGCCACCATTTGTTATAGGCTCATCCAGTTTTGAATACTGAGAAAATGGTCAACTAGATCTGTTTTTCAGCAAATTCACTGCCAAAAAATGGTAGTAAAGGTATAAATCCAAGCTTATGAGCATAGTCCTAACTAAACAACTCCCTGATGTCTTCTTGTCCCTGTCAGAGTTCCACCCTAAGGTAGAAAAAACAGTCTATACTGAATGACAGTCTTCCGGGTAGAACCTCAAGGGCTCCTGGAGAGGCCCCATTCACAATCAAGGACGTGCCTGATTTTTATACAAGGGCATACTTATTGGGTTAGAATTTCATTATTCTCTTTTCAGTTTTTGTTTTTGCTACCCCATGGAGTCTGCAGCAGTCTTGACCTTGTTTTAGCACAAAGAGGTTAAGTAATTTGTTAAATAGTTTTGCAGCAGCCATCAGCTGAGGAAAAATTTGAATCATTATCTGTTTGACTTCTAATTTCTCACTTCTCCTGGTATTGATTTCAAGTGTATGCCTTTTCCTTTGTTTTCTGCATTGAATGATTTAAAGTTCCAATTAAAAAAAATCCCAGGTACCAAAATTAATTCAAATATTTTCTTATTCATTTTGTAAAATATAAGATATAAAATACAAGATATTGGAAACATCTTGTTTAATCAAGTTTTTAATTCTAATGGTGCTGTCAGGTTAATGTTTTTTTCTCTGTTGGAAACTGTACTTTATAGTTGTCAGAACTAAATGTTATTCTTTAGAGGAAAGAAAAAAATCTCACCCACAGAGGACTAGAGCTAAATACAGTGCAAAATGTATTAAACTTTCCTGAAGCAATCGTTTTGTTTGAATGGATTTTTTAATCAGACCATTTAAAAATATCTTCTCAATATTATTGTTACACATTCTTTCCATGCTTCTATTTTTGAATACCACTGCACATGTAGATTTAAGGTTTTAGACTAAAAAAGCAGCATTTAAAATTATTTTTTGTCTTTTACAATGTGTATTTGTTTAGTAAATTAAGGAAGATTATTAGGATACATTAAGATGTACAAGGTTTAAAAACTAAGAGTTTTACCCTGGCTGGTGTAGCTCAGTGGATTGAGTGCAGGCCTTTTAACCAAACAACTGCAGTTCAATTCCCAGTCAGGGCATATGCCTGGTTGCAGGCCAGTTCCCAGCAGGAGAAGCATAAGAGGCAACCATACATTGATATTTCTCTCCCTTTCTCCTTCCCTTCCCATCTAGAGATAAATAAATGAACTCTTCAAAAAAAGCTAGGAGTTTCTATGGTTTTATTAACTTTATATAGAAATAAAATGCAAATAAGAAAATAACTCAAATGATATTGTAATAAACATGTAAATAACATTTGACAGGGATGCAAATATATACAAATGTATAGATGTAGGTACCTAGAATTTCAAACTTCATATAAAATTGTAGGTAGTTTTCAAATGTTCTGTAATGAAACATACTAATTTGTGTTTGAAAGATAAAATCTTCAAGAAGTATGAGACCAATCACAAAGTGAAACATCTTATACATAAAATTTGATAGAGTCAAAGTCACTGGACTCCAAAAGCAAGGTTATGTCTGTCTGAATAACATTCCAGACACATTGGTCAATGCATGTAATTCTAGACACTTGGCAAGCTCAGGAAGAAATATGGAAACATTTGAAGATTAGCATTAAAATTATCCTAATAAATACTTCTTTCAAAGTGACCTTCAAAATTCTTCTTCTGCAAGATGCTTTCCTGATAGTTTTGGCAAGGAGAATCAACTTTCCTTATTCAAAGTTTGCAGTTAGACATGTATTTTCTTTTAAAATTTATATAAAATCTTCATAAAAATAAAAGTAGTGAGTGAATCAATATCAAAAAGAACAGCAACAACCCTGGCTGGTGTAGCTCAGTAGATTGAGTGCGGGCCTGGGAACCAAGCAACCATGGTTTGATTCCCAGTCAGGGCACATGTTCGTGTTGCAGGCCAGTTCCCAGCAGGGGACACACAAGAGGCAACCATACATTGACATTTCTATCCCTCTCTCCTTTCCTTCCCCTCTAAAGATAAATAAATAAAATTTTAAAAAAAGAACAGCAACAAAGAAAAACAACTACCAAGAAATTATTTCTTATATAGTAATATAGGTGTGTATACCAATTCATGAACCTAGATAAATATGTGCCAACTTGGCTTACTTTTTATATTTACACCAAAAGCATGGGAAGGGTGGAGATGGGTAGGGAAATATGTCCACAAAGTATCATAGACAGAGGTCTATTTGTGTTAAATGAGAAAAGGATTAGGACCTCACTTTGATCAGTCTCAGTAAATATGTTAAGAGTGTGTAACCGTGGCTACACTTATCCATGTTTATAAAACATGAGGGTTTTCCTAATTTTGTGGCAGCTGACATCTCTCATCCACTGACAGTTTATTGTTGATGTGGGGCAAGGTTCACAGAGATGGTAAACACAACAAAAGCCAATTTGGTAAAGGACTTGGAAAAAGTATTTGATGAGAGACTTGTCTCAGTGAAGTGTAGTATCTTCTGGGGAATCCTGACCCCTTATCAACAAACCCACAGAAAAGAGACATCTTATCAGAACACTTCATAATACAACTAAGTTTGTTATTTTATGGCTGAAAGGTCAGGGAAAACATCGGTGATAAAGTGACATTTGAGAAGTCCTGCAGGAGGTGATGGGGTAGCCATTGGAATAACTGATGGGTAAAAAGGAAGGTTTTCAGGAGGAAAGAATAAAATTAATAAAATTACCTATAATACAGTGCCCTGTGACTTCCAATGTTCTTCAGTGAACAAATAGTTTGTTTAATTGACAGTAATAACTTCAGCATCCTGATAAATGATGGAATTGAAAAAATATTTTATAAATGGGGTATAAATGCTTTATTTTATAAGTGGAATATCACAGAAGTCCTAGTATTTTTATAAATGGAATGTGGGAAATAAATTTGATTTCCTTCTACCTTTCAAGGCAACAAATGTGCTACTTCTTAAGTGGAGAATAAGTGGTTATCTTTCTTTTTAAACCAGTTGAGTCACAATTGAAATGAATAATCAATTTGAAAGAATACTTTTAAAAAGTCATCACTAATCATTCTCTCAATCTTGAATGATCATTCTCATAGAACTGCTTTTGCTTCAGAACTTAAAAGAAAGCACATCTAAGGACACTACCTAAAGGATTCAGAAAAGTGTAGTGAACTAAAGGAGGAGGGTGAGATTTATTAAGACTCAAGTGCAGTATATATGCAAAAAATAAATAACAGAAGATTGAGATAGGCAGTTTGCAGAACTTTAAAAAAGGAGTAATTATAAAACACTGTTCAAAACTTCTTTATAATAAAACCTTTGTTTTCCTTCTCTTTTTTTGCAGAACCTATTTTGAAATTCTACCCTAAAATAATGTATCATTCCTCTCTGAAAATCTGATTTATGTTCTAGATTTATCTTCTAGTATCTTTTAATTTGAAGGTGACAACAATTTAATTTGTTTCTATCTGTTTTTGGTATTTTATTTTCAAAGACTGTATCCATTAAAGTTCTCCGATTTTTTCTATAAGTACATATCTTTAGTGTAATAATACTATCCTCTTTCTTTATATTGAGTTCAATAAAGTATTTATGCTTGCTTTGGGGAAAGATTCCAATATAAATGGATGCCTTTCATGTTATGTGTATGGTTTCTCCAAGCCATTTAGAACACATTAGTGTTTTTTTATTTTAAATAATTTTATTTAGTTATTTTTCAAGTACAGTTTTGTATTTCTCCCATCCCAGCCCCACCCCCGCCCTGTGCTCCCACCTCCCTCCCATTTCTACCCCCCTTAGTTCTCGTCCCTGCGTCATTCATATTTGTTCCTCCAAATCCCTTCCCTCTTCCCTCTGGTCACTGTCCCCTTGTCCTCTATTTCAATATCTTTGTTTTTATTCTGCTTGCTTATTTGTTTTGTTGTTTAGCTTCCTGTTAAAGGTGAGATCATATGGTATTTGTCTTTCAACGCATAATGCTTTCCATTTCCATCCATGTTGTTGCAAAGGGTAGTAGCTCTTTCTTTCTCTCTGCTGCATAGAATTCCATTGTGTATATGTACCACAGTTTTTTGATCCATTCATTTACTGCTGGGCACCTAGGTTGCTTCCAACTCTTGGCTATTGTAAATTGTGCTGCTATGAACATTGTGGTGCATAGGTTTTTTGAAATTGATGTTTTAGTAGAACACATTAGTGTTTAAATTGTTTCTAGTGTTAAACTTACTTTAGATCTGTAATAGTGGAGCTTAAATCCAAAACTTTTAGGACCTTCCATATGATAACTGGTTTAAAGGTATTCATATTGTCTGAAAAGTTAAGATTGTTACATTGAAAAGCAAATATAGTAAAATAAATAAGTAAATAAGCAATAGTTAGATTTTGACTGAAAAGATAAATTTAAATTGTAACAGAATTGAAATGAGAATAAAACAGTGTAGTGTTATAGTTTAAAGTTTGGGAGACTACTTAAACTAAAACAAATTAAATAGAAATAAAGTAATATTTTCAAGGAATTCTGGGCCTGGGATGTACATAAATAGAAAAAGATGAATTGCTACATACAGGGAATGGCCAGTATTTATATAATGCTGAGCCCTTTTGCTATTTTGCACAAAGGAGCTACTGGGACCAGACCCAAGGAGCAGAAGCAGAGATAATTGTTGGAAAATGTTTTTGCTATTCAAGAGAACACGCCAAGGCACCAGT